GAACGGGCCAAGCCAGCGGCTAATCGGCCCGCTCTGCCGTTCCAAGGCAGGAGTTCTGTTTCCTCTTGCAATGGGATCGCTTGTACACAGAGCGCGGTGCGCCTGCTGGCCAAAAACACTGTGTGCCTCGAGGGAATTCTAGGAAAGTTTAGACGCGCACGTTAATGCGATCAACTGTGGGAGGGTTGTCTCACAGGTGCCAAGAAGCTCATACTTTTCCCGGGTTCATTTCTGGTTGGCCCAGAATGCTTTATTTTGTTTAATTTCATTTAAAACAGGGACAGATTCTCTTTCTCTCTCTTTCTCCCTTTCGCTGTGCATATCATAATAATAACCCTTGAACTGCAGAGCTGGACGGGACCCTATGGATCGTGTCCAGCCCCTCTCAAAGAGAGGCACCGTGGGGGAATCGAACTCCCAACTTCTGGCTTCGCAGCCAGAGACCTAAAGCCCAACAGTTTGCACACCCACAACCTGCAGCTTTCAAATGTCTTTTATTTTTCCCCACAAAGCAACTGGAAATGTAACGTTGTGTTTTGAGAAAGGCAAGATCAAAGAGTGTTCTTCCTCAGCTTTTTGTTTTTAAAAAACATGGCATAAAGCAACAGTTTAAAATCGGTGCAACACTTCGTATAAACAGTTTCCTTTTTATGTTTAGGTAAAGGTTCCCCTTGACTTTTAGTCCAGTCGTGTCCGACTCTAGGGCGCGGTGCTCATCCCCATCTCCAGGCCGTAGAGCCAGCGTTTGTCCGTAGACCTTTTTCATGGTCATGTGGCCAGCATGCCTAGACATGGAGCGCCATTACCTTCCCACCATAGGGGTACCTATTTATCAACTTGCATTTTTACATGGTTTCGAACGGCTGGGTTGGCAGGGTTTTTATGTTTACAAGTTAGCTAAATTTGTCAGTCTGGTGGTTACTTGCTAGCAACTAACGTTCTCACTTCCCCTTAGGGTTTTTTAAACGAAGTGTTGTGCCTTGTTGCTTTGAATCTGGCATTGATTTTGTTTCCCATTTTCCGCGCGGTATCCGTTAGATTCTTTTTAAATGTTTGCGTACATCCTGTTTTCGCTTTTAAATATTGTCTTTTAGTGATCTAAGCCACATTGGGTCCTTTTTTAAGGAGAAAGGCAGGCTAAAAAATATTGTCAATAAACAAATAAATAAAATAGGCTATCAAAAGCAATCAGTGACCTATTTGGAAAGAGAAGGAATTCGTAATTTAGTACAGTGGTGCCTCGCATAACGAGCGCACTGTTTAACGACGAATCCGCATAGCAATCTATTTTTTTAGATCGCTAATGCGATCGCATTGCGATGTTTTAATGGGTAAAACATCGCATTGTGATGATCGGTAAGTGTTTCGCTTACCGATCTTCGCATTGCGATGTTTCTGAAACAGCTGATTGGCAGTTCCAAAATGGCCGCCGGGTGCTCAAAATGGCCACCGCAAATGTTTTCGCACCGATTCCTCGCTTACCGAGGGCGCAAAAATGGCGGCGCTATAGAGGATCTTCACTGAATGGTGAGTTTGGGCCCCATAAAGCGTTCCTATGGGTTTTTCTGTTCCATTTATAGCGTTCCTATGGGTTTTTCTGTTCCGTTTAGCGATGTTTCCTCATAGTGTCGATTAATCCGGAACGGATTAACGTCGCTATGCGGGGCACCACTGTACAGAACATCCAGCGCAGCCTTACCAGCCTCGTTCTCATCAGCAAACCTTAACGATAGTGTGAAAAGCATTCGGAGTGGTGGTGTCTTATTGTTGTACCTGGAATCTGGCACACCCTCCCGAGGAAGATCAGCCTCGCCCCCATCCTTGATCACTTTCTGAAGCCGTTTATCTGTTAGGTTGCATCCCACCTAACATTTCTTAAATAGATTCTCTTGGATCGGAGGATTCTGTGTTGCTGCTCTTTCTGCAATGTGGAGCCCTGCTCACCAGCCTCAAAGTTCTGCCATAGCAGCACCATTGACTGTCCTTGACAGTACAATGCAGGAGCAAAAAATCCCCCTCCCTCTGTGGGATCCGTATCCACTGATTCACTTATCCGCTGCCTGGAAATGTGGAATGAATCTCAAGAGGTGGGGAATGCTCCAACCCTAGAGGCATTCAAGAGAAAGTTAGACAACCACCTGGCAGATCTCCTTTGATTTGTATTCCTGCCTCGAGCAGGGGGTTGGACTAGATGGCCTTACAGGCCCCTTCTAACTTCACTATTCGGTGGGTCTATGAAAAAAAACCCAGAAATACAGATGAACAGCATCAATGCTTCGGCATTTTTTGGCATCCACGGGGTGGGGGAGGCTTGGTCATCCATAGTTGGTAGCAACTGGCCACCAACTGAGCAAACACTACTGGTGGTCTTTCTGTTTCTTGCCCGGGTACTAATTGGAAGTGTATTCATGAAGGCTAATAAAGTCATGCCCTGCTTAACGTTTGCCCTGCATTACAATGAATCTGCTTTACGACGATCTTTTTGCGATCACAATTGCGATTGCAAAACGATGGTCTAAATGGGGGAATTTCGCTTAGCGATGATCAGTTCCCTGCTTCGGGAACCGATTTTCGCTTTACGATGATCACAAACAGCTGATTGTCTGGGTTTTCAAAATAGCCACCTGGTGTTTAAAATGGCTCCCCACTGTGCCACTGTCCTCGCTATACAGGCACCGAAAATGGCCGCCATATGGAGGATCTTCACTGGACTGTGAGTTTTTACCCCATTGGAATGCATTGAACGGTTTTCAATGCGTTTCAATGGGGTTTTTAATTTCTCTTTATGATGTTTTCGCTTAACAGCGATTTTCCTGGAACGGATTATCTTCGTTAAATGAGGCACCACTGTACACAAATTGGAAGTTTCCTTTGTGAACAGGATGTTGGGGAGAACTAGGCCTAGCTAGACTTCCAGTTGAGGTCTTTCTCCAAGGTGAGCGACATTTTGGTGTCTGTCCATCAAGTAGAACTCCTAAAATGGAGAATGTGACAGGATTTGCAGCCCTCCAAAAAAAAAAATCTGAAAATCCCATCCTTAGTTAGAGATGTCCTTTTATTCAGTTACAAAAGTTCTTTCTTTAGCTATGAATGAACACGTCCACCTCTGTGTTCCTTTTCGGGAGGGCGACGTGGAAAACACTTCCATAGCCCAAGGATGTGGTACGTTTGTTTCTCACGCATTCTGGTGGGACAAGTAGCTACATGTGAGCAAACATGTTGTTAATCATGAAGCTGTCTATGACTTCCACAGCTTCTCTTGTTTTTTTTGCTTAATGAATAACACTATTATTGCACGAAGCGGCCTCGCTTAATGAAGAACTGTAACTCAAACCTCGACACATCTCCAATTTTTTGACCTTCCGATGAAAGCTGAGCTCAGCCATCATCTCCTCTCCATTGCCCCGCCTCTGAGATAGGGATCCAGAGTTCATGTACCGAATGAATCAGTTCTCCCTTATATTTTATTTTTTAAAAAAGCTTCTTCCTAGCTCAGCTCTCTCCCCATCCCACCCCCAGCCCTTTTTCCAGCTGGAAGGAAAACAGATTTTTCCGTTTACTCAACTGCAGCTAATCAACAGCCAACAGAGAAATGATGACTCAGGCTGCAGGCCTAAATTCAATCACTCAGGAGTCAAATCCCATTGAATACCCCGCTGCTGACGTTTGAGGCAGCCACCTCGAAATTAGACGTGGAACTGCCTTAAGGGGCAGGTGACATCTGTTTTGTCGTAGAAACGGGGAGGGGTGTTTCTCACCTCCAAAATCTGGCGACTGAGCATAGTTTGTGATTGGTCATCAGAAGATAAACCGAGTTTTGATTTGCTAGACTTAATTGCTCATGCAGGGAGCTGTGATGAAATCCTGCTGGTAAACAAGGATGCGTCTCGTTTCTAAGCACAAATCAAGTGGTTCATCAAGTTTAGTTGGTACAATAAACCATTTAATTGATGCTGGCCCCAGGCCTGGACTTTGCTTTCAGCATGTTTTTCTCTACCTAGACAGGAAAATCTGTCTCTGTAATAGACACAGTGTTGTGTAAAGACTCCATAAATATCTATCTATAATACGTATGCTGTTGTATAAAGATTGTGTAAATATTGTTAGGATGGCCATGCATCTTACTTTACAGACGACAGACCTTTACTTGAAGATAAAGGACCCTAAAAGGGGATTGATGGGAGTTGTGGTCACCTGTCACTCTTGATTATTATGTTTTATGATGAGTTGTATTTCTCCAGAAAGACAAACCAATGGATCTGAGAGCTTGAATTTGTATCTAGAAGCAAAAATGAGGAAACTGAGGCTGTCCTATTCGGGACACATCCTGAGAAGGCAGGATTCTCTGGGAAAAGACCATCATGCTGGGGTTGAAAGCAGCAGGAAAAGAGGAGGATGAAATGTAAGATGGAATGACTGTCTGAAGGAAGCCATGGGCTTGAGGTCTTGAACTTCAGAAGGCCCTAATTATAGGACCTTCTGGAGTTCACTCATCCAGAGGGTTTCCATGAGTCAACAGCAACACGTTTCCCGGTTTAAATTGCGGTGGAGATCATTTCCATTTTAATGAACCTATGGAAGGGTTGTGGAAATGGATTTGTTGTTGTGCGCTGTGCTGCCTTCTCTCTCTCTGTGATGTGTACAGGGGCAATTTTAAGCTATGAATAAATGCACGGAGACATCGCAAAGAGTCAACGAAGAACATTCCACCCAGTCTTAGGCATATGGATTTAGAAGTAACTCTGTGTGAGTCCAGATGAGAACAAATATCCCCCCCCCCAAAAAAAAGGCAGAAGTGCGTAGGTAGGAAACGAAGTGACAACAAGTTAACAATACCAACAGGTCCCTTAAAGGTTTAACTAACAAGGTGCATGAGAGAACACACCTTCTTGGCCTGCAGATCTCAGGATAAGAATCACATTTCGAGCTCAGCTTTTGGATTAAACACGAATAGGATTTGATTTTTCCACCAGTCACTCACATGGTCTTCTCTTCCTCAGGTGCAAGTTCTTCAGCCTGACAGAGACGCCGGAGGACTATACCATCATAGTGGACGAAGAAGGTTTTCTTGGTGAGTCCCAACCCTTCCTTCACGCAGTCTGATTTCTCGGTCTAGTTGAACGTTTGTAGAACCAGTTATTATTCTCCTGCCTTCGCCGCGGTTCGACATTTGAGACCGTGACTTGTGTCAGAGGCCAGGGAACGTGGGTTGATGGAAAAGGTAGCCCCAAACAGCAGGAAGCTATACGTACAAGGGTCTTAAGGTGGGTGTGTCTGCAATGCTGCAAAAGGAGGGGTGGATTATACTTTAATATTTTCAGAACGTGGATAAGTGAATCAGCGGATAAGGGGAGTCCTACAGTCGATGCACATTTTAAAGTAATTGCTGCAATGTAAATCAAAATGGAATCTCAAAGAGGAAACGTCTGAGGCTTCTCATGTGTTACCTGTGGGCTAACTGGGGATGAGCCACTTGGTGGCTTCTCTAATCTTTGTTATGGGTCTTGGAGTAGGATCTGCAGACACCTGAGTGCTTTTAGGAGTTAAACGACCCTGCCTTGGTCTCTTTGTTTTTCAAATATGGCTCTTGAAACGGGCATCAGAATTCCCAACAGTGTTGTGTACACAATCCCTATGAAGGGAACATTCTTCTCTACTCCTCCTTGACTCTCTGTCATGAGGATTAGAAACTTGATGCTCTGAATGTATCTCGGAGGTGGTCTGCTGTAGTTTCCCAGATATTTTGGACTGAAATCTCTATGGTTTCTCACTAAAGTCCATGCTGGCTAGTTGGGATGAGGGGGTGTGGGCCTTTCTGGGGGCTCCTTGTTTTGGTTTCCGGTTCTTTCCGGTTCAGGCCCTTTCGGTAAAATTGAAGGAACCTGTTTTCTTCCATTTCACTCGTTTCTGATTTCCCAGCTGATTTCTGGAGTTGGAACCAATTCGTACTCAAAATAAGTGCAAAACATTAGGAGGGACAAGGCGGCAGACGATTGTCCCCCTCAAAAAATGGACAGCGGCAGCAGAAAAACAAAAACAATCATCATCAGACTCATTGATAGTCCTTTAAAGTTTACATTTATCATCCCATCATGATCCTCGTTATCCTCAACGGTTCATTGACAGGAAACAATACAGATAAGAAAGACCAACCTTAGAATCATAATCAGAATACAACACCACACAAAATCCATGAGTTGCTTTATTTTCCTGATCACGGTTGGATGTTAAAGTAAAATCATTAACCAGTGAAGTATATTCGATGACCCGGTATAGCCGTTCTCCGTTTGAAACACACTGAATTTAGCAAAACATCAAAAGAGGTCTTTTAAAGAAAAAAAGAAGAAAAAAAAGCCCTTATAAATGTCAAGGATAAATTGTGCAGAAAATTCTTTAAACTAATGGCCCGAGAAATGTTCGGCAGAAGCTATTGTCTGCCCTCTGTTCTAATTGCATCTTGAACGTTAGCGGCGACGGCAACCATAGAATCGCCTGCGTGCCGGTGTCACAGTTCAACAGGAGCAATTCGTTTCATGAGATAATGAACTGTATCAGCGGGCGCTTCGGAAGGAGGAGACGGCGATCCGCCGTCTGTCTCGAAGGATGGGTTCAGCCTGGCTTCAGTCAGAAGTGTCGTTTCATCAGTATTCTTGTATGGCTTCAATTCAGGCCAGGTTCTCTGAATTACACCTTGGTCTTTCTCCTCTTCTTCGAGGTTCAGGTGTGGTGTGTGTCCGTTTTGGAAGTCAGAGGCTTCCACACGTCTCAAAAAGATTTCCCAAGGTTATTTATTTATTAAAGTTTTGTACTGTATCAATTTTAGTAATAAACACTGCTCGGGGGGTGGTGGTGAAACAAACGGAATGTAAAGGAAATCTCAGCAGTCTGCTAAATGCTCACACCACGAGCAAACAAATAACAGCAAATACTATCTCGGAATAAATAATTGGGTGCCATCAAGTGGATTTCAACTTTCGGTGACCCTTTTTAGGGCGTTTGAGGAAGAGAGTACAGAGAAGTGATTTACCCTTCCCTTCTTTTAGGGGGAGCCCTGGGACTGTGCAGCTGGCCCAAGGCTACCCAGGCTGGCTCTTCTCCCAGGAGGCACAGTGGGGGAATCAAACTCTCAAACTCTGGCTCTGCAACCAGAGAGCTAACTCGCAGACAAACTTCATCACAGTGCTGAAATATAGCAGACAGCAGTTTAGAGGTGGGT